AAAAAAGAAAGGGATGAAAAAAGTAACGAAAGAGAAGAGAGAGAAAAGAAATGGGGGTAGGGATAAAAATCGTTTCGGCGAGCCGCTCGTTACGTAGACTGGAGCCTAAACCTTGATCTCTTTGCGATACACAGCCGTACACACATACAAACACAGACAAATATATATACTAATGCAAATTCTTCTCCCGTACATTGTTTTATCTCGCGTTGGATCCTTTCGATTTCGAAGCAGAACGAAATTCTCGCAAACGAAACACGGTGTCTTCCAATCGCGACAATTTCTCCTCCTACGAAAAAAATTAAAAAAAAAAAAAAAAAATAAAAAAAATACAGCTTTGCCTTACAGTTTTCGTGATGACGGAAATAATGATGTCTGTCATCGATCTACCAAAGCCGATATCTCGATGAGTCCAAAAAAAAAAAGGAAAAAAAAAAAGAAAAAAAAAAATAAGAAACGAAAGTTTTCAGAAAAAAATGAAAAAAAAAAAGGAAAAAACGAAACAATGAAAACGGTTTATTCCGAGTGTCCAAAGAAGAAACATGTAAAATGCCGAGGCGCAAAGTGTATCCTGTTTTTCTTTTACATTCCACGTAGCAGAGAGAGTAGAGAGAAAGAGAGGACGTAAGAAAAAAGAGCGAGAGAAGAGTGGAAGAACGAGAGAGAGAGAAAGGATGTGGATATGAAAGGGGGAATGTGAGGAAGAGAGAAAGAGAGAGGAACCACGACGGAGAGGACGGCGGTGCGCGCGACTTTCCGCACGTCTCGATAAAGAACTCGATCGCTCGCCTGTTATTCTGATTCGCAAACAATGATGCGTTTGATCGCGTTCACCGTTCCTTACAGGCTATCTCCGAAATGGGTGGTCAAATTTTCAGAAACCTTCTACCGGTCGTTCAGGATGATAAAGCGTGTCTCCTTTTCAATACGTCTCTTTTTGTCCTTACGACGAGTAAAACGTGTACAAAAAAGAAAAATTTAGCTACCTATTTTAGAAGCAGACTGTACGTTAATGAAATGAAACATGCGACTATTCTTTTCACGTATAATAAAAAACGTCTATTCAATGCGCTATCAAAAATAAAAAAAAAAAAAGAAACGAGGTATTCGTATAACGAGTATTTCGTTCATTTTCGGTTATCCTCTTCGGTGGTCGTTGCGAATCACATTATCAGGTCCGCCAAGAGGTGCAAAAAAAAAAAAAAAGATTTAAAAGGAATTATAAGGAAAGGGAAAAAGAGAGAGAGAGGGAGAGAGAGAGAGAGAGAGAGAGAGAGAGGGAATGCGAAACATGCGAAGATAGGGAATAGGGAATCGGTGGATTGGCCCACGAAAAAAAAAGGGCAAAAGGTAGGAAACTAGGAAACGAAACGCCGGCCGTGCCGTGATGGAAGTAACGAGTTGTGAAAATGAGGAATACGAAGAAAGCAAATTATATTATAATACGCGACTGTGATTTTTTGGAGAGACTCTCGTGTGCGAGGGGTCGATGTTCTACCCGAAAGGGAGGGTGGCTCTGGGTGATCCATGTCCTATCCTATCGATCGATCACCGATCTCGACCGTAGCGGATATCGCTCTCCATTGTTCAGCATAATTATCTTTTTAGTCCTATTGTCTCTTATTAATGGAAGAATGTTTCGCTGCTCTACGTTTCGAGCTAGCCTAATGCGCACACGTATACTATTGTATTTAATAAATAAAGAAGAAGAAGAAGAAGAAGAAGAAAAAAAAAAAGGTAACGAAGGGATATACGACGTTACACGAGATCGTTTCGAAAGAGAGGGGTTTTCCTTTATATATATCCTTGACGCGATCGAGGGAACGAGACACGATTAGAGCCACGCTCCTGGTAAGAAACTCATACACGATAATATCTTATCGAACTATTAGTTGTTAGCCTTTTCATCGTCGAGACTCCTAGAGTGCGTGCGATGCTTCACTAGGGAACGTACGTGAGAGCGTATTTAATTATAAGAATTATTCAAAAAGAGGAAAAAAAGAAAAAAAAAAAANAGATGAAAACCGTGTGCATTACGCTGTATCAGTGATGATGTGCGCTGTGAGG